CCACCCCCCAGGCGGCCTGGGCCTCCCGCCCCGACCTGCAAAAGTTGCAAGCTCCGCTATGGGACGGGAGGGACGCCAGCCCCTTTTCCCGGGCGGGGAAGGGGAGATTGCAAAGAAGGACGGGGGGGGGAAGTGGGGTGGGGGTCCCGCAAGACTGACCTCCAGCCCCGGCAGGGAAACCGCTCCGCCGCTCCCACGAAATCGAAAGCCAAGCGACGGAGAGGAGGAGCAGCGGCGGCGGCGGCAGCGCTCAGCACGCGCCTTCCGCCTCCGAGCCCGGGCAGAGGGAATCCCCGTGACGTCACGGGGCCGGGTCTCCTCTCTCCCCCCCCCCCACCTCCTTCCCGTAACCGACCCCGCAAGGAGTCCGGAGTGACGCCCCTTCTTCACGGCCAAATCCCCGGAAGCAGAGCCGAGACGGATTAGCCGGGAAGCGGCTTTTCCGGGCTGTTTTTTATTTTTTAATTTTTCTCTATCTCAGCCTCCGGGATCACCTGGTGGTCCCCTGTCCCAATCCAGATTCCAGCCTCTCCCGCTGCTATTGGGGGTGAGGGGTGGGGGCTGCACTTTGGGGGAGCAGCTGCCTTTTTTTTTCCCCAAGGAGGCAACAGGGAAGAGAGGCTGGGAGTCCTCCAGTTAAGGGCTGCGATGGAGCCCTCCATTTCCGTCGCTAAGCAAGGCGGTCGTTTGGTGAGTTTCGACCCATTTTTTTTGCCACAGTTGTTAAGTGAATCACAGGCTGGGTCTTCTCCCCCTGAGGTCTTGAGAGCCGCTGAGGATGGGCTTTGTAATACCCGAAACATGGTTTTTGTAACACCCTGGCTAAGGAACATGGGTCTTCTTGTCTTTTAAATTTGCTTCTTCGATTGTATTGCTAACAATTTCCCATAAAACCTACTTAACCTTACTTAAATCACCAGTCCCTGCTTCCATCTCAGGAGGAATAGGAGAAAGGGGGGCGGTGGAGAAAGAGCCGGAAGGGGAGGAGGAGAAGGAGGACTGTGGGGACAGTAACAACCTCACAACTGCAGTTGTTGTTGTTGTTGTTAAGCGAATCCATTGATTTGACTTGTCAGAAAGTTGCCAAAGGGGATCGTATGACTTCAGGACATTGCAACTGTCGTAAGTACATGCCAGTTTCCAAGTGTCTGGATTTTGATCACGTGACCACAGGGAGGCTGCTCATTAGTGGGATAAGTGGTCATTAAGTCACTTTTTCCAATGCCTTGTAACTTTGGTCACTAAACAAACTGTTGTAAGTCAAGTACTACCCAACTCCAATGGATTAGTGTAAAATACTAGGGAAAAAAGTTTTAAATCTGAAATCAGATAGACATCCTAGATTGATTTTACTGATTAAAAAATCCAGCATATCTTCCCTTTATCACAAAATATTTGCATATTTTACAACATTCCCTATAGAGCAGGGGCCTCCAATCGTGGCCACTTTAAAACTTGTGGACTTCAACTCCCAGAATTCCGCAGCCAGCTTTGCTTGAAGTCCACAAGTCTTAAAAGTAGCCAAGGTTGCTGGCTGAGGAATTCTGGGAGTTGAAGTCCACAGGCCTTAAAGTGGCCAAGGTTAGAGACCCCTGCTATAGAGCAATATGTGTGGACTACAGCTCCTAGAATTCCACAGCAGCCATGCTGGCTGAGGAATTCTGGGAGCTGAAGTCCACAAGTATTAAAGTAGCCAAGGTTGCTGGCTGAGGAATTCTGGGAGTTGAAGTCCACAGGTCTTTAAATGGCCAAGGTTAGATACCCCTGCTATAGAGCAATATGTGTGGACTACAGCTCCTAGAATTCCACAGCAGCCATGCTGGCTGAGGAATTCTGGGAGCTGAAGTCCACAAGTATTAAAGTAGCCAAGGTTGCTGGCTGAGGAATTCTGGGAGCTGAAGTCCACAAGTATTAAAATAGCCAAGGTTGCTGGCTGAGGAATTCTGGGAATTGAAGTCCACAGGTCTTAAAGTGGCCAAGGTTAGAGACCCCTGCTATAGAGCAATATGCCTGGACTACAACTCCCAGAATTCCACAGCAGCCATGCTGGCTGAGGAATCTGGGAGTTGAAGTCCACAAGTCTTAAAATAGCCAAGGTTGCTGGTTGAGGAATTCTGGGAATTGAAGTCCACAGGTCTTTAAATGGCCAAGGTTAGATACCCCTGCTATAGAGCAATATGTGTGGACCACAACTCCCAGAATTCCACAGCAGCCATGCTGGCTGAGGAATTCTGGGAGTTGAAGTCCACAAGTCTTAAAGTAGCCAAGGTTGGAGGCCGCTGCTCTAGACCAATATGTATAGATCGGTAACCGTGAACTATCTTGAAATACTGTGGGCCGGGGTTTGGCTGGAGAGGACTTCACCGAAAATTAAATAAAAGGGGTTTTATTGGCTTCGTGCGGGAATCTGTACTTTGTTGAGGATCCACTGGGAATTCTCCTCGGATCAAATCTGTTTTTCTTCAGTGGAGTCGATGAGTAGCAACCATTAAAAACCCTTTCTGCCATCCATACGGGAAGTCCTCGACTTACAACCACAATTGTGGGACGGAGTTTTTCCATCGCTAAGCAAGGCGGTTTGTTAAGAAAATCTCACCCGGTTTTCTAATTGGTGGGGGGGAGGCACAGCGAAGCAAATCACTGCGGTTTTTAAGTGAATCGTGTGGTTGTTAAGTGAATCGTGTGGTCATTAAGAGAATCCAGGTTCCCCCACTGACTTTGCTTGTGACACGTTCACAAACGTCAATTACGTGACGTTGCCCAACGGCCCTGAATTTCAATCCTGGCCATGCTGGGGCAGTCGTAAGTGCGAGGAACGATGGCACGTCCGTTTTTTCACTTAGAACCGTCACTAACGGAGTGGTTGTAAGTCGAGGACTACCAGTGTTCTGGGAGTTGAAGTTCACACAAGTTGCTAAGGTTGAAAAATGCCACTCTTAAGAAGCAACAGGCTTTTTTTTTACAGGTGGTTGGTCCTCGACTTACAACCACAATTGAGCCCCAAATATCTGTCGCTAAGTGAGACATTTGTTAAGTGGGTTTTGCCTCATTTTATGACCTTCCTATTCACAGTCGCTTGGGGACTCACTGCAGCTGTGAAGTGAGCAGCACGCTTGTTTAAGCGAATCTGGCTTTTACACACACACACACACACAGACACACACACACACACAGCAGCTTGGAAGATCAAGCAAGACGTCTGGAATTCTGGGAGAGGTAGTTTTGCAGGCACACTGGAAATCCGGCTGGTTCTCGTGGAGGACAGGCCATTTTCTCCTCTCGTTACTCTCTCTAGCACAGGACAAAGTGGGGAGGAGAAGGAGAAAGTGGGGAGGAGGAGGAGGAAGAGGAAGAGGGAGGAGGAGAAAGAACTAGAAGGAGGGGAGGACTAGGGGGTCCTTGGTGCTCTCTGAGCTTGGCTGATTTCTTGCCGGGAGGAGGAGGAGGAGGACAATGACGATAACAAAGACTTCAGGGTCCTTTCCTTTGTGCTCTCTGAGCTTAGCTTTTTACTTGCAGACATCTCGTTACCAAACTACATAACATCATCCATGCTAGATCTCTTTCTCCCGCCAATCGTTCCACGGCAGGTTCCTTGTCCAAATCAGCAATACAGATCCCGAATTAAAGGTGCAAAAGAGGCCTCTTTAAGAGCTTGCTGGTGCTCGACAAAACTCCCCTAGGTTTCTTTGGCATAGGCGAGAACGCAAAGGGCGAAGGGGTGTGTGTGAAGCCCTTCCCCCCCTCCCCCCATGTTTTGGGACAAAGCAACCCCTGCCCCATGGAAGGGCAAAGGTGAAAGGTAGTTTGTCCCCCAAAAGGCACTTCCGAGGCGGCTGAGATATGGCTTTCAATGCCAGAGGCTTTCCTTCTTCCGCATTCTTCCCCTCAAGGCCACTTCAACTGTCCTCTCCTCGCAATTTATCCAAATTCTTGCATTCTTCCCCTCAAGGCCACTTCAACTGTTCTCTCCTCGCAATTTATCCGAATTCTTTCGGCAGCTCCTCATTTCAGGAACCACTTGGTCCAGTCCCTGCCCTCCGAGGGGGCTGACCCCCAGCGCTTTGGGCCCTGGGTTGGAAGCCAGCCAAGGATGGAGCAAGATGCCGCTGGCGGTCAGCCTTTCCGCCGGATCCTTTCGCAAGAGGCACCGGATAAGGCACTGAGCCTTGGGCGAGAGGTCGCCCGGAACCGTAAAACGTCCGCGACAGATCTTGCCAAATAACGAGATGGGCTTGGTGCCCTGGAAGGGATAGCAGCCCACCAGCAGAGTGTAGAGGGCCACCCCTAGGCTCCAGATATCAGCCGCTTTTCCAGAGTAGGAGCCCTTGAAGCTGATGATTTCGGGACCCACATAAGCTGGGCAGCCATGCTTGTCCGTCAAGGCGTCATCAGTGCCCAATAGGACCTGGGCATCTTCCAGGTTCTCCAGCAGCAACTTGGACCTGGAAGAACCAAAGGTAAAAGGACAGGTTAGGCGAAACCTGGCTCAAAAACAGTCACAAGGAGAGGGATTTTGGAGTCTTAACGGACGATCCCTTAAACACGAGCCAGCCGTGCATGGCGGCAGCCAAAAAGGCCGATGCGATCCTTGGTTGCCTAAATAGGGGCACAGAATCAAAATCACGTGAAGGATCAGTACCGCTTTATAAAGCCTTAGTAAGGCCACACCTGGAATATTCTGCAACCAATTTTGGTCCCCCAAAACCGCATTTTTGGCCCCCCCACCCCCCCCCCCCTTTGCAAAAATGGCCATGCATAGCCTTTAGGACAGTGTTTCTCAACCNGGTTCGGCCGAACCGATCTGAACCGGTAGCACTGCTGGTTGCCACCCAACAGCCAGTCAATAGATCCCATCTTGATGTGCGCGCCGATATAATTTAAATCCAAGCTGCAGATTCAAAACCGCTAAAGCTAACACTCTTGGCCGCCACCGTTATTTTCTAAAAGGTAACTTCATTAACGGTCTTCTCGGATCAAGGCCCGGTCTCTGATAACGGCTGTTCCTTGGGATTCTTTGAAAGCTGCAAAATGTCGGCCTTTCTGTTTCCTTTTGTTCCTTTGTTTCCCTCCCTGCTTTTCTCGGATTCCAAGTGATTAGTTCACAGCCATTTCCCCGGAGCTCGTGCATGAGTCACACAGCCACGCTGTGACACGCATGTCACAACCCGCAATATCCCGAGTGCTGAAACAATGGGTTTTTATCGACGGTTGGAAACCCAGCTGTTTTCATCTCGCATGTTGGGAGTTGGGTAGCCTGACCGTAAAAAGACCATTATTTAAAATTTCCAAGTTATGCACGACAAAAACACCGCGTGAGATATTCCAAATGTCACTCGTGTCCCTTCTGTTTCGATGGGCGGCAGCGGAGAGGGGGGGGGAGAGGGGAATACGATCCTGAATTTTATATTGGAGATCCGAAAGAGTGCAGTGGCATCCAGTGGTTGTGTCAAGAAACTGGACTCTCTCTCATTTCTACTGCGGAAAAGATTGTGTTTGCAATAAAGCCAGCGCGCTGGATTCATTTCAGTGGTTATGTTGAAATATGATACGCTCAAAAACCACTTTCTGCAGTTTTAATAATTAGGTACTTTGAACAAGTCCTCTCTGGGGTCTTCGCAAAAGCCCACAATCTGATATTATTACTTCTCTCTCCAGGGTACGGGGAGATTATTTTGAAATTTTCTCTTTTGTAGGTCGCGAGTCACCTCTCCCCCCGCCCCTGCCTTGAAATAAATCTTGGGAGTATGTATTACTTAAATATTTATACTCCACCTTGCCTTGTGAAAGTTGAGGGCGGCTTGGAAAAAGGAGGAATCGTTAAAACAAGCAAAACGCAACGCTCTGCTTATTTGAATAATACAAGCCCCCTTTTCGAGGGGAACATTCATCTCCCAGGTAAATTATTTAAGAGCTCTGGTTTATTATCCAGTCTAGATGAGCAAAATTCTGCTCCTTGCTCAGGGGGCTCCCTGGAAGGGCACTGAAACAATTGTAGGCAGCCAGCCTGTGGCGGAAGAAAGAAAATCCAGACAGATACCAAGGTATTATTTATGAAGTAAGAAGGGCAGGC